CTTACCGCGATTTCCGATACTACCAAGTACAAGTAAAGTTTTTCGTCCGTTTTTTGAGTATGAAGCAGTGGTGGGCTTGATAGATATCATTTTAATTCCTCTAACGCCTGTTGGCATTTCGGGGTCCAAGTGAAATCATTCTTCTTTTTGAGGAGAGAGAAAAATTTATGACTCCGATCTGACGACCTCGAAATGAATCGGCCTAAGACTGCAATCCGTCCCGTTAACCTATGCACGGCTTTTACACTGTCGACGATGGTGATGTCTTCGATTGCCTTGATTTTATCGAGGTTAATCTCGATCCCTCGATTTGATACCATGAAGCCGAGGAACTTGCCCGAACCGACCCCGAAAGCACATTTCTCGGGGTTGAGATTCATGTTGTATTTCCTTAAAATCTCGAACGTCTCCTGCAAATGGGTCAAATGGTCCTCTGCGCGCAGGGACTAAACTAGCATGTCATCAATATAAACTTCCATTAATTTACTTATTTGTTCCTCGAACATTTTATTTACTAGGCGTTGGTAAGTACCCCCTGCATTTTTTAGCCCGAATGGCATCACATTATAACAATATGTTCCATACTTGGTGACAAATGAAGTCTTTTCCTGGTCTTCTGAATTCATTTGGATTTGATTATACCCGGAATAGGCATCGAGAAAAGTAAGGATCTTGTGGCCGGCCGTGGCATCGATCATGCGATCGATGTTGGGCAGCGGAAAGGAATCTTTGGGGCATGCTTTGTTCAAATCCTTATAGTCTATACATATTCTAAACTTGTCCCCTTTTTTAGGCACTACAACTATATTGGCTAACCATTCGAGAAATTTCACCTCCCGAATGGACCCTATCTTGAGGAGTTTGGTTACCTCGTCTTTTATGAATGTGTGATTTACCTCGGATTGGGGTCTTATCTTTTTCTTCACCGGTCTGAACCTAGGTCCAAGCTTAGCCGATGCGTCGTTATATCCGATGAGATTCATGTTATGTCTAAATGGGACCAGACAAAACAATCTACGTTATCGATAAGAAATTGAATAAGTTTTTTCCTGAGCTCGGGGGTCAACCCCGTTCCCAGGTATACCTTCCGTTCGGGCCAGTGCTCGATTAGTGTGACTTGCTCCAACTCCTCAATCGTTGATTTGGTAGCGCCGGAATCATCAGGAACCATGAAGGATCGAAGGGTCCTTTGATCATCATCTTCTTCGATCTTCTGATTATCTGGTCGGGTTAAAGCCGATGTCTGTGATTGCTATTTGGTATCTCATTCCCCTTTTGAGCCCAAACCCTGTATTGGCGAAGGCGAGGATATTGGATTCGCTTCTTCGACGGCAAACATTTATCTTGCGGCCGGTTGTTCTCCGTACACTATTTTAACTCCCCTCGACGTTGGGAATTTAAGGACCTGGTGTAGGGTCGACGGTACAGCTCTCATGTTGTGGATCCATGGCCTTCCAAAAAGGGCGTTGTACCTCATATCGCCTTCGATCACGTGGAACTTCGTTTCCTGGATGGTCCCGGCCACGTTTATCGGTAGAATTATCTCGCCTTTGGTGGTTTCACATGCCATATTGAATCCGTTTAGAACCAGGGTTGCAGGTACCATCTGGTCCTGTAGGCCGAGTTGTTCTACGACCTTCAATATGATGATGTTGGCCGAGCTACCTGGATCAATCAACACACGCTTAACTTTTGTTTTATTCATAGGTACGGATATTACCAGTGCATCGTTATGAGGTTGTATGACTCATTCTGCATCTTCATCATTGAAGGACAAAGTTCCTATGGGTGTGTAATCTTGAGTTCGAGATCGTTTTTCCCTCGCAATCGATGTCTTAGTGCGTTTAAGCATCGGTCCCTGAAGGGTATCGCCACCGATGATCATGTGAATGACATGTTATGGTTCTTCTTGTTCGTTTTGCTTGCCGAAATCCCTATTTTTATAATGGTTCTTCGCCCTATCGCTTAAAAATTCTCGAAGGTGCCCTTTGTTGAATAACCGGGCTACCTCCTCTCTTAGCTGCCTGCAATATTCCGTTCATTGGCCATGGGTGCCGTGATATTCGCAAATTTGATTAGGATTCCTCTGGGCAGGATCGGTCTGCATGGGTCAAGGCCATTTAGTGTCCTTGATGCGTCCGATAGCTGACACGATGACGGATGTATCGATGCTGAAGTTATATTCCGATAACCGAGGTGCTTCCTTAGATTCGGCAGGCATGTCGAACCTACTTCTGTTCATCAGCCCCCCGGACCTTTGACCTGGATCACTTCTTTTGTTATTCTGCCCGGGGCTATGTCACGATTCACTGATTCTGCGGTTTCCGTTATACGGTCGGTATCGATCACCGATCGGACCTTGTTCTCGATTAATATCCCTTCGAGCAGCGGGTTCAGACCCCAATTGATCATCTTCGACCCTAATTTTTGATTGATACCGATTGTGTACGTCGGCCCACGTGATGGCTGGGTATTCGATCAGGTTATGCTTCAACCGTCGTGAAGCCGTTGAACTTCGTTCGTTTAAACCTTGAGTGAAAGCCTGAACAGCCCAATCGTCTGTGACTGGTGGCAGATCCATCCGTTCCATTTGAAAACGGGATACGAACTCCCTCAGCATCTCGTTATCCTTTTGTCTTACCTTGAAAAGGTCTGATTTCCTTGTTGCAACTTTTATGTCACCGGGGTGTGCTTTTACAAAAGAATCCTCTAACATGGCAAACGAGTCGATGGAATTCGGTGGTAGGTTGTGGTTCCAAATCATTGCTCCCTTCGAGAGGGTCTCTCCGAATGTTTTTAACAACACAGATTCGATTTCATCGTCTTCTAGATCATTGCCCTTGATGGCACACGTATAAGAAGTGACGTGTTCGTTGGGGTCGGTCGTTCCATTATATTTGAGAATTTCGGGCATACGAAATTTTTTGGGGATTGGTTTTGGGGCTGCGCTCGAGGGAAAAGGTTTTTGCACGAATTTTTTGGAATCCAACCCTTTTATCATTGGTGGAGCTCCCGGGATCTGATCGACCCTGGAGTTATACGTTTCTATTTTTTTATCGTTGGTTTCGACTCCTTTGTGAGCTCCTCGAGCATTTTAGCAATTTCGGAAGTAGTCCCCGATTCTTGCTCATTTGACCTCACTATGGCCGGCTCCGTTCTGTGGCTGATTTCTCGAAGTGGACTGGGCTCCGGTCTGCTTGGTAGTTAGGTTTGGCTCTGTAACTGAGCTATTGCTACTTGTTGAGCTTGCAACATTTCAAAAATCATGCGCAGGATGACGCCGTTTTCCTCGACGTTATGGGTATCTCGAGTTGCAGACCGAGTGCCACCATGAATGCTATTCTCAGGTTCAGGATGTAGGTTCGCCTCAATGGCCATATGCGAATTGATATCTATCGGCACTTCGATTCGAGCTTCAACGGCGTTGACAAGTGGTCTTCCGGTACTGGGTGTCAAGTTGTTGTTCTCATCTTGAAGACCGGTTTCGTTGTCGATAGGTAAGGCCATTTGATTGGTAGTCAGTTGTTGCTAATCTGAAATGCTTTCGGAAACAAGCGCAAAATGGTGTGTTTTTGCATATTCGTATCAAATAACCACCGTTATCCTTAGCCCCACGGTGGGCGCCAAACTGTTTACCCGAAAAACGGATAGCATTGAATTTGTACGTAGTTCTAAGGATATGTGGTATAGCTTAATACAAACCGTAAGGATGAATAGAAAAATCAAGTATGGATTGATAAGAATGCAAAGTAGACAAGGTTGCAAGGAAGATAATTGCTAGGACTAAATAAGTTGAATCAATTTATGAAGCTTGAAAAAATAATTCTTCACTGTAGGGGAATATGGTGCTTGAATTACAATATAAGCAAAAACTTGGGCCTAACAGAAATGATAATCATCCTCTTTATAGTAGGGGGATCTTACTTTAGATACAATTAAAAATAGATAGTGGGAGACCCATGATAAATCAGTTTTTCCACAATTCCTGCCAAGATCCTCTCCTCTAGTGGGATTGCAACGGCTCTTGTCTATGAGCTCGATATTGGCTCGAGTTTTTGGTCTTGACTCGAGCTCTCGATCTCGACTTGAGCTTGATTCTGACTCGGATCCCTGAATTGATTCTGGGTCGATGTGGGTCGGTCTCTGAATCACAAGTTCGATAACTTTTCTTTGCATCATAGTTCGATTTGGATTCGAGCTTGATAATGATATCGAGCTCGACGTTGATCGATCCCTCGGGCTCGAAGCTTGTTTGTTCTATTTTCGGAACCCATCACGGAGCCTTACTTCGATCCATTATGTTTTGATTTCGATCCATTATGTTTTGACCTCGATCAATCGTATGAGGGCCGAAATCTATTTCGACCGCATGCATATATATTTTCGCTAATGATTTTGACTTTACACTTGAGGAAAGCTAAGATTAAACGGGCAAAATGTTGTATTATGATTTCAAAAGAGTCATGTGTTGGCCTACAAATATACAAGTCTTTCGACTATTAGTTACTAAATCCAAAAGTAATCTGTTTGCCAAAATTCTACTGAAAATAAGCTTCATTTCGCGTGTGATGATGACACCAACTAATTACGGAATATTTCTTTGGTTTCTAGAGATCTATTTCATCAATAATAGGAAATCAATAGCACCTAACTGACATTAAAAAAGTAGACTGGTTACTTAGATTAGAACCCAAGTTTCCGAAATATCAGTGTACCAACCAGAATTATTTGCTTAGCGTCCCCTATCACACTCAACTAACTAAGTTTGTTCATAAGCCCATTCTCCTATTTTTGGACAATCAGACACCAAATTGTGTGAACATGATCAAGCAGATAAAGAATAAACGATTGTTATCATTACATGCAGTGCTCCAACCATAAGATCACTTGTCACAAAAGTTTGAAATTATAAACATTCTTGAGATTCAAGATTGATTGGTACCAAATCAATAAAATGGCAATCATGTCAGTACGTACAGCTTTTAAAAACTGTATTTATTCCATTGTAACTTCTCCTTATTTGCTAAGCATTTATATACATCAGGTTCATCTTTTTTAGAAATAAACTAGTACTAGTACCTATAATAAGCTTTGCAAGCGAGGACAAAATCACTTTTTTAGCAACATGGAGGCTCTACGAAAATCTTTGTTGATTTTTGCTATTGTTACAGTAATAATCCAGAATAAAGCAATGGCGGCACAACATGTTGTTGGGGGGAGCCAAGGATGGGATGAATCCACTGATTTCAACTCCTGGGCGTCTGGTGAGACATTCAAAATTGGAGATACACTAGGTTCGTTCATTGCTTTTTTCTTGTTCATATATACCAAAATTAGGGATAATAGCACTTTCGGTCTCTCAATTATTGATAAAATTTTGATTTTGATCTTTGTCTAAGTACAGTCAACCTTTAATTAAAATGTCCATCTTTTATCCTTTATGTAGAAAGTATGTTACATCTATACTACATATAGGACTATATTACCCTCAAATATGGAGTAAAAATGCAAATTTAATGTACACGTGGGTAATTAAATGGTACATGGTTAAGAATTTACAAAATTTGTGAAGATTCACGAGCAGAGTGATCAGACATACATGTTTCAATTAATTGAAGTTTAGATATATTTAGCCAGATATCATAACGTCCAATCATCAATATGCTCAAGTTTCAATTTTTCAATATATTTTGCAGTATTTAGGTATAATCCAGGCCTTCACAGCGTTGTCGAAGTTGAGGGTGAAAGTGCATACAAGAGTTGTGATACAAGCAGTTCAGTGAACTCAATGAGTGCGGGTAACGATGTTGTTAAACTAAACAAACCAGGGACTCGATATTTTGCTTGTGGAACAGCTGGTCACTGTGACCAAGGAATGAAGCTTAAGATCACAACTGTTACTGGAAATGCACCTTCTAATCAGGCTGCTACTTCTTCCACCCCTAGCTCCTCTTCTGCAGCGCCTAATTCCCGTCGTTTTTCTACTGTGTTCTTCACTTTCATAGCAGTAATATTGACTATACAAATGGCTCTAGTCTTCCAGTTCTAAGTCAAACTTTGCTTTATTTGGTTCTATGTTTTGCACTTGATGAGGCGGAGTAGCTTGTATTTATAGGGAGTGGAGCACTATGTTAATTTTGTCTATAAGTTGTTCATGTGATGTATTGTGATTCTGTTACTTCAAATTTTGTAAGGAGATCAAATAATGACAGCCATTTGTTTCTTTTGTTGTTTCACATTATTTTTGCCGTACCTATTAATGCTTTTCTTAATGAAATCATTTTCCTGTGTTGGTTACCCTGAATTGTTGTAAATGTATTGTTTGTATGAGCTAACAATTTAGTTCTATCATGTTCAAATTAGATGAATGAGAATATGCTGTAGTCTCATAACCTAAAGTTTGAATTTTGAATTTGTGTCAACTGTAACTGAATTTTATATAAATTAATGACAATGAATAGTTTTTATAAATCATTTCTGTCGACTTATTTACATAATTTATGCTGCAAAAAAAATTTCTTTGATATGTCTCTTACCTGCTAGAGGAAGTGGAATTGATGGTGAAGTGGGCTGTAGGATTCCTGTCATTTACTTCTGCTGTCTCTCTTCCAAAGTATTGCAAGAAAAGTAGGAAAGATTGAAAGATCAGTGCCCCTTTTTGCAGCGCTTAGACTTTGCTAGATGGGGAAAGACATTCAAAATGTTGCAGGCCCTTAAGTCTTGTCTGGTCAAGATTCCAACCACCGGAAATACCTACAGAAGCACGACACAAATTAGTTATACTACTTCTGTTGCAAAATAAACTTAACAAAGCTCTATTAATACCAACTTGTTTGGGACTGAGGCGTTGTTGTTGTAGTAGTTGTTGTTGGTGGTGTTGTAAAGTTCTTATATACTCACCCCTGCTGCTTGGTATTTGGGTACAATGATCATGTGTAGCGCCACTTGCCTGAAAACCACCATTACCTTTGCTACTGACATACTTTCCACCGCGGTATAAGGAGTTGTGTTGATCAAGGGATGCAAATCAACATACATCTCCATTTCATCCTTTGTAACTGCAACATCTGCAATTTTGCCCCACTTTTCTGCTAAGTCAATCCAAGTGAATTTCTCCTCTACTTCCCAATCCTCTCTTCTCCTACTCTTCTCATTCAAGAACCACTTCTTTTTTAGCACCAAACGAAGGTGAGTTCTTAAGACAAGTTCATGCAATTCGGGTATTGCTCCATCTACAACAGGAAATCCATTGTGTGTGGTGTTCTTTAAAACCTCTATGATTCGTCCCACTTTCTCAATTCCCTGAAGTGTAATTACTGGTGGCTTTACATCAGCAAGCTCACCAACTGTCGGTCAATGGCATGACATGTGTGTATTTTGAACGGATGGACGAGGGAGTTTAATAAACATCCCAAAAGAGAAACTCAATCTGCAAACCTATTGGGTAAATAAAGGCGAGTAAACTAGATTCGTCTTAAATATATCAGTTTACTTATACATGTTAGATGAATACATATAAATACTCAGATATTATAGCCATTTTATATAAGTTAAATCGAAAGAAGCAATAGAATTATATTTTCCTCGATCTACACGTATTCACAAGAAAATGATTGATTGAGATTGTTTCTCGGGTGAATTTTCAACAAACCATCCTCTCAGTCTCCCCCATCGCTCGTTTGGTCCCCGCGAATAATGTTCCAAGTTTCATAGGATATTACCACTATGCTACCGAAGTTTGTACTATTAATACACACAAAAAAAGTGTCATTTATTGATGTAAAATGATGTTTTAGTCAGCTAATCTCCAAGGATCCTGGGGGCATGTAACCTGTTAAACATTAGTATTCCTGCTTCTATTCAGTTTTAAATAAGATAAGATGTTGATTCCTGGGGCATGAAACATGTCAAACATTAGAAAACCTATTTATATGTAGTTTTAAGATACACCTTTTTTTTTCCAAAACCAATACTTTGCCTTACACCAGCAAAGGGAGTTGTTAACAGACGTGATCAAGCAATCATATCTTTAATGTATTCGACCGTCCAAATTTTTATCCTAAAACTCCCTCCGTTCATCTTTACTTGTCCACCATTAACTTTGCACACTCTTAAGAAATAATAAATAAAGTGCATAATTTACCATGATACCCATATTAATTAGTGTATAGTCTTAATGGATTTGAAATATGATTTGGAATGAGTTATTAATGCTAAGGGCAAAACAGGAAAAATAAATTATTTTTTTCTTGATATGCAAAAAGTGACAAGTAAAAATAAAAATTTATTTTTAGAATACTTGACAATTAAAAATGAACGGATGGAGTAATAAAATACCATATAACCAAAAACACAGATAAGCCACACAGCCTCCCCCAACCCAAAAGAAAAGAAAAGTAAAAATAGAAAGAGTAGAGAGCAAACATCCACCACAAGATCTGAAATCACCAACAAAGTCTAAAAAGTTCGTTCTATAAGCTGAGTGCTAATCTGACAATAATTTCATTTTTCAGGTTTTCCAGCTTCATAATCTTATGACTATCAGAAATTATTTTCTGCAATACCTGGTTCATATATTCGGTATATACCATCAACAGGCATTCATGACCAAAGATAAATCGTCACAATACCTTAATCCAATTTGTTCTCCAATTCAATTTCAGGATTGTACGTGCAGTGTTTTTGGCACATAATAATTTGTACAGTCTAAAAGTTACCTTCTTACTTGAACTGCACAGACCCATCGCTAAAAATTTTATAAACCAGAAATGGTTGTTTTCAACTTAAAAACTCCGTAGACAATGGGTCACCTCTCTACCATTCTCCACTTAAGTACCAGACTTGTGTAACAAATTTTAACTTGTAATGTGCGTCAATTGCATATAGCATATAGCATATTGCCCGATGTATTACCTTTGCCAGGTGAACAAAAGCCTAGGGGCAAATGACCAATAGCTACCATGCCACTATCCTTGCACTTTGAAGTGAACATCAAAAAACTTTTTCACCAATTAAACCTGCTGCTTTTTTTTTTTGATAAAGTAAGTGATTTCAATAGATGGCATCCAGAAGATGCAAGAAGTACATGATTTGGCATTTGAGCTTACAAAAAATATTCCGGCTTCTATACTTAATTGGCTAAGCCAGAGCTAAGGAACTAATGAAATCCAAAAGTTGATCGATATTATTGATAGGGTAGAGTCTAGACCAACAGTACAAATTTGCAATACACATAGCCTTTAAAGAACCTATAGAAGTTGAGTTTCCATCAAAACATCTCTTGTTTCTCTCTGTCCAAATGCACAAGAAAATACAAGCAGGGACCATTGACCAGATTTTCATGATGGCTTCATCAACTCTCCATAAACTCCAGCTCTTATAAGCGTCCTTGACTGTGTAAGGGATGACACATTTGAGACCAAAATGGCAAAAAAACATGTACCATATGTCTGAGGCCACCTCACAGTGTAGGAGCAAGTGGCAGGTACTTTCAGCTTTCTTTTAACACATGTAGCATATGTTAGGTAACTGGAAGTTCCTTTTCATCAGGTTATTTTGTGTGAGGCATGCCTCATATAATGTTGTCCAGGTGTAACAGATAACCTTTGGTGGCAGCTTGGTTCTCCAAATAAGTTTTCAGGGCCAGTTATCTATCATGGGATTACTAGAACACATCTGTTGATATCCCACCTTGACTGTGTAGATGCCTCCACCATGATTCCCCCATTTAAGTCTATCCACTACTTGGGAGTTAACATTGCTTTGTTGTAGTCTTGCATAAAGGTCTAGCAACTCGTTTATTTCCCAATCATGCATGTCCCTTCTGAACTTCAAGTTCCAATTGACCCCTTCCCTATATGCAGCAATAACCGCATTAGGATCTTGGG